CCCCCCCCCCCCCTCTTCAGCGAAGGGAGGATTAAACTTGTGAGGGCGAAGACACTGCTCAGCTGCGTGTGATATTGGAGGATAATAAAGAGGCGGAGTTGAAATGGTTTCGCGGCGCAGAGGGGGCGCGGACAAACCCTGGCAACCTCCAAGTTAAGCGGCTTCTGGTGCCAACGTTAGTCGCGGATGTTAACTCCCCCGAATATTCTGTTTGCTCGCGACGCACATTCGATGATCTTTCGCGCGTTTTTGTAGTTCTTTAGAACTTCTCTTAAATAATACAAAGCTGCATACACAGAATCAAAAATGCCAATTCAAATATGAAAATGAATCGTGAAAAAAGAACAGCTAGTCGGTTTTAAAATTAATCAGGGAACGTGATTTGAAGTACTCTCTCAATTATAATTTATTTGTCGAATCTCCAAAAATGAATCTGGCATCGTTCAGAGTTGATCTTGTTTTGGGTATCGTTTGCGACACAAAATAAAACAAACAAGGACACACTTTTAAATAATTCATTAAAATTTGTATGTCATAAAAGTATCTGCAATATTTCTCTTATTCCGCCAGTTCATTCGCAAATGCGAGCAATCCTTTTGAGAGAGAGAGAGAGAAAAAATCGCCTGTCCCCGGTTCATCTCAAACCCTCGGCATTCTGTCTGCCCTGATCCGGCCGGCTAAGCCACGTGCGGTAGTTTTGAGAGGAACGAACTGCATCTCCTCTCCTCCCCCAATCGATTGATCTTGCTAAGAACCGATACTCCCCTCTAATTAATTAGGGAAGTTGTACAAACGCATCAGCGAAAAGCCATGCCAAACAACACTGATCACAATGGAACACAAAAACATCGCGCATGCAACACCGGACAATGAAGCACAAAAGCAGTGAAACAGCGGTGTAGAAACAAGTGGCTAATGGCTAAAGCAGGGTTGAAACTTACACAATTGGGCTGCAGACGGCAGTTCACCACTTGTCCGACGGAACCAATATTAGGAATAATATACATTATATCACAATTAACACATATCACATTCAATTTCACTTAGAAAGAGAGGGGAAAATCCAGAATAAGCCACATGTATTCTCTAAAATGGCATGCGACAAGAGAAATGTGTGTAGAAATGTTTGCCTCTATGTGTTAAGCAAAATTGAAGTACTTCACTATACAATTGGTCGATAATAAACACGGGGTATAGGACACCTGGGTCAAAACAATGAATCACGTATAGGAAACGGAATTAAGAAATATCGCTTTATAAAATAAATATTTGGGAAACAGCCGTTAGTAAACTAAAAGTCAATATACTATGCACCTGAAATCATGTAAGTGTACGCAAAGCCTATATTGGAGCCCGAGTCAGCAAAAACACGTTTTGTGTGATGGCTTATTGTAATTATATATTTCCACACTTTCTATTTTAAATCTTTTTTTTATTGATGTTTATTTATTTTTAATAAAATTTCTACCAGTCCTTGAGTATAATTTCAAAGATTTTCAAGACAAAATATTTAATAGAGAAATCCGCATTAATGTGTGTCAATATACAACTTAAAACGTCAAGAATTGCATAACGTAATGCCTTTAAATTATTATTACTAGTTTACTGTCACTGGTTGCTAGTTTTAATTTAATTATTTTAAATTGTCTGAATTACAGAAATATTGAATCGTTTTTCTTAAAAATGATCATTCAAATTCTTAATAATAATAATAATAATAATAATAATAATAATAATAATAATAATAATAATGCACTTAGCAATATACAAAAAGGCAACAACAGAGCTAGTGTTGTTATTGAAATACATATTACCAAGTTAGTAAGTTCTTGTTATGAGCGCAACTGAACAATTGATTTTAGTAAACCTGCACCCTTACAATGTCATTCCCAATATTCTTAATTAAACACAGTTAGTAGGTTTTTTTTGTAATTCAAGCAATTAAAATGTGTTACATATCACTGCTAAGCGACCGCCTCTGAAAGGCAGCTCGGCATCATGCACAACAAACTGCACGCACGCAAACACACACATAAAAAGCCCAGCCCCCCCCACACAGAAAAAAGCACAGCCCGACATGCCGCGTGCAACACAGACTGCCCACGCTCTCGGCAACGGGCCATGCACCTCGCTCAAGCATGCGCAGCACAAACAAATATAGAGAGAGGGGTACGAACCAGCAACCGAGGCAAGTCGGGACGCTGTTGCTGAAACAAGAGAGACACACACTGTACTGCGCTGCGCTTGGCTTCGGGGAGGCATTGGAGAGGGGAAAGGACCCACGCGGGACAGGGAAGGGCGCCGCTGGAAAGCACTCCAACATTTCAGAGGAAGAACATTCGGGAACAAATCGTCCCCGACAGTACCTTTAAGTACACGGCCACTTTTCTATTTAGAAGTAAATTTCTGACACGTGTATTAAATTAGAGATGCATCTACAGGAATTACAGATCACTCGTCATTTCACTGCAAACATCAACTCAATTTCAAGCTTTACAGATGATTGAAAAGGGCACTGAATTTTGTATTCCACCGGGCAGAACTGTATCATAAAAGAGGATATTAGAAGTATCAAGAAATTATAATATTTTTTTTTGTAATTATGATAATTCTTTGTTTTTTTTAGGTGAAGGTTTCCTCGATTAGTACTAAAATTGCTTTTAAAAAAACCTGCCTCTTGAATAAAAATGTTTCAAATAATCCTGGTTAAAGCCACCATGTTATGAGGAATAGCCAGAATTAATGGTCTACGTAAATCCATCAACGAGGTATTGGAAATAAAATTTCAGAAAAGAGGAAATTCAGCTATATTGTTGCGGATGGAAATGAATCATATAATAATATCATATATGGCCTTGGCCAACAACCTACAGTAAAGATGTATAAATTTATCCGTGTAATTCCAAGTAAATGCATAAAAAACAACAACACATTTACGAGACAAGACTAGAAAGAAAGGAAATCAGTCACGCCAATTAGATTAAGGAGGAGACACATCACACAGAAAAAGTATGAAAAATATAAAAATACTGGTACTAATAATCACATTCAAGAAGATAAAGAAGTGAAGTAAAACTTATTTTGGTCTGCTGAAAAAAGTCAATGAAACATTGTACAGCAAAGGTTGATCATTGGGAAGTTGTACTTCTCAATAAACTCTTTCAAAATTTGCGTCCCTGTTTCTAATGGAACGTGAGAAATTACGTGAATAGTACGCTTACAATGACACGCACATTATATGAGAATGACTTCAGGTTCCCGGCACGTGGACGGCAGTTAAGGCTCTTCGGAGCCATTCGCACATGGGCTATAAAGTAGATGCGCAATGATATTTCTAAACAGAGCATTATTTCCGTTATTCCACTAATGGAAACGTCGTAACGCATGATCAGTTACTGGGGTAATAAAGTAATACGAATATTTATGAGAATGATAAGGATCTTTGTGGGGCAGTGCAACATACACTTAAGCTGAGGTCTGGTGTTATAAAAATTGAAATTCTTGAGAAAGACTAATGTTTATATAGAACTGTAAATGTTACCGTTATCATAATAATAATTACCGTTATTAATTACAGTTATAATAATAATAATTACAAAAAATTCTAATCAAAATCAAAATGTAATACATATATTTTCATTTCTGGTGTTTGAAGCTAGAACTCTTTCACAGTAGTTCCAGGAACAAAGCGATCAAAGCCAGCAAAAGAACTGGTCATTGTAATAAGTATCATTTACTCAAGCAGGATGTCATCCTTTAAATTACCATTATTACCCGTTGCGACAAACACATACACTAAGGGCCGAGGACATATGACAAACCGCTTCTGAGAAATATTCCACAGCACAGCGCCTTATCGAACCGCAGTGCTCCAGACTCCGCGCACTCGACTGTACTCCTCCTGCGGCGCAGCAGCTCCTCCGCCCGCCACCATCCCACCCACCAGAGCTCTCGGCTTCTCGTCGCTGCGCATTCTTCCCGCTTTCCCGCTTCTTACTTCGCTTATATAAAAACTCGAGGCAGGCTTCGCCAGCTTGCAGAACTTTCCAGCGCCTTCTCTCGTTCCCTCCCCCTCCCCTCCCGCCCGCTTTTCTGCCCTACGGGCCCGCCGCTCCCCGCCCCTCCTCCGCCACCGCCCCGGCTCCGCCTCCTGAATCAAATTCCAATCTGGTTCTCGCCTGATCGAAGACGACGGAGGCAGCGGCGGTGGCCGCCGGCGTCAGACGCCGGCATCTGGAGTAAATTAAGCTAGGGGATTCTTTGCATGTTTCAGAGTCTTATGTGTATATCAGGGGTCGGCAAACTTTTCCGCCGACGAGCCGGAGGCGTACTATAAATATTCACAGGTCAATACGAGGTCTGGTCATAAAATTAACGGAAGTATGGGAGGAACACATGTAGTTGTCGAAAGATAGAAGTACTAACACTAGAGGAGATTTATAAACTCTCTTTTCTGGTAAATCGTGAGTGATTGAAAGACATTGAAAATACCTAATGTGCTGTATTGAAAATGTACTTCGTCAACAGCAGAATTATCTTTGTTGCAAAACAAATAACAGCACACACACTCGATACTAACTTTTGCAAAATTTACTTCAGAAATCAGAGATTCAGATTTTTCATATCTTACTCATAGTGACAAATATCAAAACTTCAAGTATGAAAAGAAGTAGCAAGGTTCGCCTAGAGATTTTATATGAAATCCATCATTGAATTTAAATTACGACTTTGAAACACGATATAAATACTGTTGTAATACCACAGATAAACATTGGTAAATACATATTGAAATGGTTCACAATGATAGATATTCATTTAAAAATTAGTTAACATAACAAGCCACTTTGCTTCAAGCTCGTTTGAGCTGTGCACTAACTTGCACGTAACCACTCGCTCGTGATAACAAATACCTGAGATAACATCAAGACTCGTACACATTGGAATATTCATGGAACAGGGTTTATTTCTTTCTAATAGCTGAAAGCGAACTAAATCGGGAAACCATCTAGTGTGATGTTTTCGACCAGAACAAGAAAAACATCTCCCGACATGTTATCGAGAAATCTGCGCCACACGCGGCCAGTGGACCCGTCGAGTGCCACCCCTGGCACAAACACCTCCCAGCGGCCCCGCCCATCTCCCTGCCCGCCACCCGCCGCCCTCCGCTTTCCACAGCGGGGCGAGATCTTTGTTTTTCTCCTAAGGAGACGGAAATAATATAAAGTTGTCGCCTCTCACGCGGCGCGTCTGTCAGCAGGGGAGCGAGCGGCGGCGGCGGCGGTTAGCATATTCATGACGAAAACCGTTCTGGGGGATGTCGGACACTGCGATGATGAGATGGCGATGCAAATTTCCCCCTCGCACTTTCGCCGGGCGAACCGCGCTGGCAGAGTGATTGCTCGGCGGTGGCCGCGACGGACGCGCAATTGGGCCTAAAGCGCAGGTCGCCGCAATTTGATTCGGGAGAGCGCCACCGCACGTAAATTGAAAAACCGAGAATCGATTGTATTTAAAATGGATCACATCTGGATATCTTCTTTTGTACTGAAAGGGGTATCAAGGCTAAAAAGTTGAGTCCTAATATATAATTTTTTTTCACGGCAATTATGAAATGTCTCATGAAGATATTGGGAAGTGGCAGTTTGCTCTCGCTTTCAAGCTATAATTAAAAGTGCTATACCCAAACATATAAACATGAAAGTACTGGACGTTATTATTTATTTTTTTTTAAAAGAGGTAGCAAATCTCCATTGAATGCAAGTCCGCTTTTCGCATCTATAACATTTACAAAATCAATTATTCTGTACATCAGTTACAGAAAAATGTAATATTTCCAAGAAAAAGGTAGAAAAAGCTTAGTAAACGGGAAAGAGCCCCCTCCAACTGTCGGCCATCGTTTCGCCCATCGCAACCCGCATTTCCAGCGGCCAACGCATCGCCCAGAAACGTGCGTTCGAAAAATCCAAATGCCCTATTTACTCGAATCGCGCGAGCGCAACTGTTGTCATGTAAACAAACAGAATCCAACGATCCACGTTAGCCACGGGTAATGGTATCAAAACGGATATAATCGAATCCGATTAAAGGCTTATTTACCTCATTACATAACATTAAGTTGAAACCAACCCCAGTTAAAGTTATGACGGATTCACGGCTTATTAGACAAACGTACAACGGGATCGACAAAATTATCCATCCTAGAAGTAGTACCCCCAAAACGGAACGAGTAATGAAGTTTTTTCCCACGTCGCCCCTCGTCAGAACCTTCAGTTATTCCTCCTCACGGCCCCGAGTGGCCGGGGTTGGAGGGGAGCGGAGGGTGGGTGGGGGGTGGGAATTAGCGCGGGCCCCCATTTGGCGCAGGCTGCGAGCGTACCGCGCCGCCCCCGGCGACTCTTAGCAAAGCAAATTAAGTTGCATTACGGAAAAATAAGGGCGGCGCTCCCCCGGCCGCGCCCGCGCGCGCGCGCAGGCGAGCGGGCCGCCGCTCTCTCAAGACGCCGGGAATATGATTACCGTCGCCTGAGATAATTACTGACTCGCTAACTGGCGGCCCCACCCACGCGAGCGGCGACGACGACGGCGCGCGACCCCTCCAAGCGGCAGCGCCCCTCGGGTGACAGTGGAGGTGGTGGTGGTGGTGGTGATAGTGCTTGCGGTGGTGCGGGTGGCAGCGAAGGTAGTGATGGTTTAGATGGGAGGATAGCGATGGGAATGATGGCGATGGTTACAGTGTCAGTGGGAGTGGTGGGTGGCGGAGCCAGCGGGGATGGCAGTCGGCGGTGTCAGAGGGGATGGTGGCGTCGGTGGTGGTAGTGGTGGTAGCGGCGGAGCGGGGATGATGGCAAAGACGGTGGGGATGGTGGTTGGCAGTGTCAGCGGGGATGGCGGTCAGAGGGTTCAGAGGGAATGGCGACGATGGTGGTGGGTGGTGGGTTCAGAGGAGATGGCGTCGGTGGTGGTTGTAGAGGTGGTGGCGGCGGAGTGGGGATGATGGCAGAGACGGTGGGAATGGAGATCGTTGGCGGCGGCGGGAAAGGCGGTCGCTCAAGGAGAGAGATGATGGCGGAGGTGACGGAGATGATAGCGAAGACAGCGTGTAGCGGTGGTGGAGATGGCGGTTGCGGCGGGGATGG